CTTTTTTGCTCAAAGGAGGGTTTGTTGTTTTTAGTAAGGAGTTGTTTTTCTCTAATCCACTTAAAAATAAATCTACCAAAGTAAGAATTAGCTTTTCAAAACAGGGAAGCATGCTGTCAGTGATTTGTTTTTATTCTTCATTTACTTTTAAGAACTTTTAAGAACTCAATTGAGTGGTAAGTGGTGTCTATGCCAATGGGATAAGTTTGTGATTTTTTTTCTTTCTGGGGAGAATAGGGTATGTGGCTTTTCTTTGTTAGACCACCAAGTTAGTATTGGGCACTCACAGACTTTAAAGTGGTGTTTTATTGTTACAGAAACCTTTCCAAGAGAAAAGATATACTCTCCTTTCAGTGAATTTAGTAAATAAAAACCAGTCTGTAGTACATTGAAGAGGGAATACTTTCCTCAAAATGCTGTTTGAGCATGAAGTTTAATAAAGAAGTTTATTACAGTTTATTAATCTTAAGATGAAGATTATTTGAAAGCTCCACATGTATAACTAAATAGTTGTCATTATATATCTAGTACTTTTCTGAACCACTAGGGTGAGCCATTTTTTTTTAACTCCATGCTAAGCATTTTATGATTGTCAAGTCCTCTCAGTCTGAAGTCTTAGTTATCTCTCCTCTAAGGTTGTGTTTTATGAAAGATTTTAAGTGCTGTAAAACTTTAGTAATGGAAAAATTATAATATTTAGTTTGTCTTTTAGCTCTGTTGCTGTCATAAAAAAAAGAAAACCATTGAGAGAGAATTTTAATATTTATTATTTATCGGCAGACACAACATCTTTGTTGGTATATGGTGCTGAGAATCGAACCCAGGCTGCACGCATGCCAGGCGAGCGAGCTACCGCTTGAGCCACATCCCCAGCCCATAATGGTTTTCTTATCCTTGGTCTTAAATGAACTTATTTACTTACCTCATTGGCTGTGGTTACAAGCCTAGAGGGAAATATCAGACTCATTCGGATGTAATTATCTTTGGTTACCCCTCATTCCATTTTCTAAAAAATATTTAAAGATAATGAAAATAATGAGGATTCACTGTCTTCCTTTGCTTACTGGTTATTGCAAAGAGATGACAACTGAGTAAAGTGGAAATGACAAAGATTAAGAAGAAGGATCATATATTAATGGTATTAGTTGATGTTCAGAACCTTGACCGGAAGAATATTTATTAAATATGTTAATAAGTAAATATATTAATTATACAATATAAATAATAGCATGAAAAATTCTGGGGTCTTGATGGATGTATTATATTATTATGCTGAGCCTTACACAGAGTCTTAATTTACTGGGCTCTTAATTATAACTATGCAATAACAAAAAATTGTTTTCAAAGTAGTCATAATTTGTTTTAAACTTCAGGTGCAGTAATTAAATATTGACTGTCAGTGTAACTCTAGGGAGCTATGAAAAATCATTACAAGTGATAGGTTAAAATTTAACAGTGAAAATTTTTAGCCATATTATAGAAAAAGTGACAGTTGTCATTTCAGTATTTAAAAAACCTGCAAGAAAATAATGGGCACAATGAGTAGTCCATTTTGAAAAGGGAGTCCTGTACAACTTTTGAGAGTTTTAAATGGAAGGAGAAAAAAAAAAATAGTAACTTTTGTAACTTTTTAAGCAAACTAAAACAATGTGGGAATGTTTAATTGTGTGCAAGGCCCTTTGCTCTGCAGGGGATGCAGGATAAGGAAGGCCCTGGAGCCAGAAGCTAAGGTGTCAGGTTCTGATGCTCTTTGGACAGGCTTCAGAAGCACAAATGGAAGTACAGGAGTGATACAGGGATAGCTCCATCCCCCTACCCAGCCCCACCCCATCTACCTCTTTTGTGGATTTTTTCACAAATAATGTGTCCATATTTTATTTTTTGAGACTGGGTCTTGCTGTGTTGTCCATACAGACCATCTCAAACTCCTAGGCTCAAGCTGTCCTCCTGCCACAGCTTCCTGAAGTCTGGGATTACAGGTGCTTGCCATCATGCTGGGCTAATATATCTATAGAGTATTTATGTAACTTGATAACTCTTTGACTTTTTATTTCCTTTTGTGAGAACACTCGGAAAAATTAAAGGATGTATGTATACGTGTGTACCATTCAAATAAATACTTATTCAGTAAAACACAACATATTTTACTGTGGTGAAATAATCTCCAATTTAGATGGAGGTAATAGAAAGAAGCATTGAGAAGATTTCTGTCCTGTATCTTACAGAAAAATTAGCTTCCATTTGATGCAGAAGCTTATGGTCATATCACCAGCTGTATTTCTTCCTTCTTGGTTGAATTTTGAAAACAATATTGTACCATAGCACTTCAAGGAGGGAAAATTGGCAATTTAAACCAGTAAGCTAATTTCTCTCTGTAGGTACAGCTACTGAGGCTACTCTTCACTTCAATATGTGTAAGGAAGGTAGTGTTTTAAAATTGCATTTTTTTGTTTGTTTGTTTGTTTGTTTGGGAGTAGCTTAACTAGATGGTTCTGGTTGGGGTCTCATTTACAGTCTAGCTGTAGGCTGCAGTCAGTTTCAAGGTCTGACTGGGATTGGAGCTTCTGCTTTCAAGTGCCTGTGCTGCTCCAGGTCTCAGTTCCTTGCAGGCTTGGTTAGACTGAGGGCCTGGGTTCATTTCTGGCTGTTGTCTGGGGCTTCAGTTCTTCACCACGTGGGCTTCTCCTAGTGCATCATTTCTAAAGATTTCTAATGATGTCTCCTCTGTATAAGTGACTCATCTGTGTTATTTTTTTAACATCTTTTTGATATACGGTATACCTAGAGACAGATACAAAGAAAAAAAAGTATTCTGTTTGATGAATTTTTACAAAGTGAACATTCTTTTATAACCAGCTCCTAGATCAAATCAATATTGTCAGTGCCCCAAGAGTCCACCTGATGC